CCGAGGCCATTCCGAACCAGATTCACACCGAATACCGTAGGACGCAGCCAGTTTGCAACAATACCGAATCTCTCCGAGCCACGTATCCGTACCATGCCAAATGCCATCCTGTCAGTCCAAGGTAGTACTATCCCACACCGTCCATGCGACTACGGGCTAACTCAGTGAGGTTAGTAATTATAATCAGATAAACCGGAAAGGCGACACGGGAAACCTCGATCCTCAGGGGGTAGTAAAAAAAAATTAAGAGTTTAGAGAATTTGATCAGATTTGGGTTCCGCCCCAACGGCGGTTAATTAATGCGAAATCAGAATATGCATCGAGTAATCATTACTTTCTGTTCGTCTGTTCGCTTTTATTAATTACCCTTCTCTTTTCTTAATTCTTTTGTCCGAATTAGCATAATAATCGCAACTCCTCAAAAATTAATTCCCGAAGGGTCTAAAAAGGAGCAGTTGAAATTCGTTCGTTTCCCTTTTCCCTTCTTCATTTTTAGTCTTCTCCCCATTTTCAATTTCATTGCCGGAAACATAAAATAACAAGGGTACTCCCCCTAGAATTAAATGCCGTGAAAAACTTAGAAATTAAGGGACTTTGTGTTTCTGCGTCCTCCCCTACTAGTCCTAATCCCTTCCCCCATTCTTAATTATGGTACTAAAATAGACAGAAAATTGAGGCCCGATTTYGGCCCCGGCCGTATGCTGCAAAAGAGTCGCGGCGAGGTCTGTTCCCGCGATGCCYCCTTGCKCCCGGCCATTYGAGGCCTAGACTTGGATCGGGCTGAAATAACGGTTCCTAGATATGCCGGGAGCGGCTACCCATTTTGCCATTTCTGAGGGTTATTCGTAAAGTTCAGTGTGCCCAAAATCAGGGGCGCCCCGAGTTCTCCTAATTTTTGCTACCTGGTCATATCAGAGTTCCGTCAAAACACGGACTTGTCCCTGAGCCTAAGTCCCAAAACGGCAGATCTCAGGCGGCTCACTGCTTGTGGCCGCGTGACACCGGGCCCCCCCCCGTGGTTTCCTTTTTGTGTTCCCTGCCCCCAGTGCAGGTTCTGTTCGGGAGGGTGAAAACGGGCAGTCACTATGCTCAGCAACCTGTGACTGACATCCGGCCAGTTTTCTCCCACTGGCAGCCCCTGTGATAAAGCCTTGTGCAGACTAGCGCTGCTCTCCAGAAGGGGGATGAGCTCCATGTACACGTTGTCCCAAAATTCCACATTTCCTTCCCCGTATCTTAGGTGCAGGTTTTCCATTAACCATTCTGCTATTTCCTGCAGTCGCATTTTGTGTGTCCCATTTTCCTTCGTTCCTTCTGGCAGCACCAAAGGCATCTTCAAACAGATCTTCAGGAGTTTTCCGTGCGCTGTCCTGGGAGCGGTCTTCACTCGTGGCCACATTTCCCCCTTGCTGTTGTGTTTTCTTCCCTCTTTCGTCTGATTGCTTCTCCGTCTCTATCTTTTCATCTAACTGTTTTTCTTTTGCCAAGGTACTTTATTGCTACTGGTCCCCATTTTTGGACTTTCTGCCCTCCCTGGGGTGGCTTGGTCAGCTGCTCGGGTTGCTTATCCTTCCCCTGCGAGGAGGGCAGTTTGATTGTCGGGGTTTTAGCATCCGGGGTTTTGGTAGGCAGCAGGGCCGCCTACGGGGGCTTTTCGGTTACTGGGGGAGGCTTCCGTTGGGGCGGCAGCCACTCGCTGGGGGGGGGGGTCGCTCTGCAGGGGTCCTCCCGGCCCTCCCAGGTCCAGCCTTTCGGTCTTCCTGCTGGGTCGCAGTCTTCTAGGTACACCCAACCCTCATGCCCCCGGTCGACCACCGTCCATCTATTAGGTCTGTGTGGGTCCTGTTGGAGCCTTCCTGCTTTTGGACCCCTCTTGTTGGGGTGGTGGGGGTAGGCGGACTCTGTGCATAAGTGACCGTATGCCTTGCACTTGAAGCGCCATGGCCTAAATTTATGTGCGTTGTGAATTTGGTAGATCTTCCCTCCCATCCTGTAGGGAATTATGTCATCCATAGAGAAGGGCTGGTCCTTGGGGAGGTCAAGGGCCAGCATCATGTAGTCATCGCGTTTTGCCACATAGGATGGAAGCGGGTCAATGAAGTCTACAATATTGTACTGTTGACCCAAATCATAGACAAATGCAGCCTGCACCTCCACCGGGATGTGTCGCATTTCCACCCAGAAAAAGTCCTTCATAAGCTGCTCCCTCTTCTCCTCCGGGGACAGTTTTTCGGTTGCCAAGGATAGATACGCACTTCCGATTTTTCCCACTTGATCTTCCGCCATCCTTCCATCCGCTGTTTATCCTCAGGAAAAAGACTGAGTACTGTGAAAACCGTGGAGGAGAGGGGGTGGATGAGAAAGAACTCTCGCACCGCCTCATGACTGTCTTTCATATCTTCCAGGCGTCGACATATCCAGCGTATTTTATCATTGACTGATTTCTGCGCAACTTCGTCGTGAAACAACCAGTTGCTGGCGTGTTTGATGTAGGCTTCATCTCTTGCTTTGATTTTATCCGCTGGGTATGTCTTCATCACCGTTTTTCTCCCCCCCTGGTCCACCACTTGGTTTTCTGAGGGGAGGAGGAAAAGGGTGAGGAAGTACGCTCTGGCTGATGAAAGGTTTCGGAGAGGCACCTGCAAGACTCCTTTCTCGCCCTGTAGTGCGCTGTTGCCATCCCTTTTGATGGCAAGCGTCTTTTCCTGAATTGTGCTCCTGACCCGCTGTGCCCATGTGGTCCTTGGACCGTTTCCCGTCCCCCCTTGTTTCTGGGTGTTGTCCTCCTTTTGTTTTTCTCTTTCTGTGCTCTTTTCTGTAAGCTTTTCTTCTTCTGTCAGCATCTCTTGTTCACTCTCTTCGTCGCTCTCACAGTCCACCTCATCTTCCGTTTCCTCATCCCCAACCTTTTCGTCCTTCCTGGTTCGCATCAGTAGGTCACGGTCCTGGGCGGTCTCCTGCTTTGTCATACCATTCCCCTCCCGGGTGGAGTCATAAGCCCTGGCCGCCTCCAGGGTTGGCCATTGCTGTTCCATTCCCTGGGGGGGAGGGGGGGTTGCCTGCCGCCAATCCAGGTGGGGTTCCTTCCTTGGCCTACCATAGGGGCAGAACGCTAATTGCCTGCCTATGTTGTGTCACATGGCCCCCTGATAGAAGACGAGGGATCTAGGCCCTCGGACCCGTCTGTGGCTCAATTCCATCGAGTGGACTATGTAGCGTGTGTTGTTGTGATGTACGTGCTCGAGTGGGAAGACCTGTGTCATCCCGGCAGGCCGATAGTATGCAGTCGCTTTTGCGGGCCAATATTACGTGGTTGTTTACCGATCAATGTGGATTCTCTGGCTTGTTACTTTAACCAGTTCTGTTTTTTCAGTTTTTCTGATGCGTTCATTTATTCTTCATTTATTATCCTCACCGCTCTTTTCCATGGCCATTTGCTGACTCGGGGGTCCCACCGGAGAGAGGGGGGGGTTGGGGGGGGGGAGGGCGAGATGTCCACCTGTTATCTCTGGAGCGTTGTTGACTCGACGCCTTCAACGGGAGTCCGCTGTCTTCGTCGGGGAGAGTCAGCCTCCGTTCTCCACGCTCTTATCCTCGTGTTCGTCGTCTGTTCCTGGATGCTTTCCGGCTTTCCTTATCTCGCCGTGCCGCCCAGTTCTTTCATTCCCTGCTACAACATGGCCCGGTCACCCCTCCCTCACTCCCTCATATCGTCTTTCCTTCCTCCTCCGTTGACTATTCAGCGATGCCCCTTTGCTGCCTTCCCACCCCTGCTCCACACTTGTATGCGTTGTTGTTGTTTTTTTTCGCCACTTCGCTTATTCCCTTCCGGTCAGTCTGTAGTTAAAACCACGCCACGTTGTTCTTATTGATATACCTCGTCTCTCTCTTGTAGTCCGCCTCTCCCTCGATACTCTCTTACTTTTCAACCATGGCGGGAGGCAGCGCCGCGCTGCTCTACTGACATTTCCTTGCTTCTCCCTCATAGAATGATTCCTCCTCGGTGCGCTCTTCACACTTTAGCCATAGCATAGGCTCACTCCACTTCCTCTCCGCCTGTGTCGGCCCCAGATGCCACGTGACGACAACGTGGCGGCCGCAGATCTCCACGTGGAACCCGGGGGGTCAGGCCACTATTTGCGTCAACCCGTGACGCGGTGTGACCTAGCGCCGATGTGTGGCCGCGCGTGCGCTAAGCGCCCCTCTGGCACAACTTGGACTATTGTACATTTGCAAAAAAGAATTTCATAACCAAGGGGCCTAGCTCAGTTGGTACACCCCTGAACTGATGAAATTACAGACCCGAGTTCGAATCCAAATACGATCAGATGAAAAAGAATAAAATCATTCTGAATTGTCTGGGACCGGGCAGTTCAATGATGATGTCTGAAGGCCGTCGCCATTTTTCTTATATTTTTTATTTCTTTTTATCAGAAGATAGAGGGGCAATGAGAAAGAACAACCCCATAAGCATACACAGGCCCCGTTCCGGGCCTAACACGGATCAAGCAGAAAGCCGCACACATCAAATCCTAGTTCGTTACAACGCGACGAAGCACAACATTAGAAATGTATCTGGCAAGCAACTAGACAAGACACATTTGGACTAACCAAACATTTTGAACGTATCGGACCATTACCCCCCTGCAGATACATTTAGAACATGATACGGAGTGCAGTAATGTTAATAGGACAGTTTAGGGAATAACTCCTGTGCCAGGAAATTTAGGGCCTCATTTCATCTTTTCTTTCTGAATATGGAGATGGCAATATGCATCTTGCTGCATTCTCGTGCAAGATACATTCGTTCAACAGTTTCACATTTGCCAGGTTTGTGTGGCGGAGGTTTGTGTGGCGGAGCAAGCTCCAAGCACTCCAAATACATTTGGACTGATCCGAGGGCTTTACCCCTGATTGGCAAGCGGCCTCAAATCTGAGTTAACTATTTAAAAAAAAAANCTGTTCCTCGGGTCCCGAGGCTCCACTGTCTCAATCATTACCCGCGTCCCGTCTGGCTTCTTAATGGACAATGTTTGGCTTCCATCAGGTCGCTCTATCGTYACCGCATGCACGTGGCTGAGCCACGTTCGACCCAAGAGCAGGTCGGAGCTGCAGTTCTTGACTGCAAAGACAGGCAGGGTTACTCGCACCCCTTGGACCTCTATGGCTGCCTTGTGACAAACCCCAGTGATCTGTTGCTTTCTCCCATCAGCCGTCTCTATCTCGAATAGGTATGACCTATCGAGGCCCAGTCCAACTTGTACCGCAAGGTCCTCGTCTATGATGACAGCCTCACTGTCGTTATCAATCACAGCATCGAGTACCGCATGCTCGTTTATAATCGTCTCCACGGCCCCGCTACCAAGTATATAAAACTTGTCTGGAGGCACACCTTCCATTCCATCGAGAAGCACTGTCGCCATGCGATCCGCTCTTGCAGTCACCCCAGTTACTGTTACTGTAGAAGTTTCCGCCTTAGGGGCGTAACCCTCCTCCGATAGAGGTATGCGAGTCTTCCACGTGATCATTTGTAACTCATCACGAGCCGGCTTTGATGCCGCCAGATACTCCAGAATAGAGCACTGCATGGGTTGCCGAAGGGCCCGCCTTAATGGTTCGACCGTGTCAATCTCGTCCAGCGAGCTCTTCATTAGGAACTTCTTCACTCCCCGCTTTCGCGGCGAAAGGATAACCTCCTCTCCATCGACCCGCTGCCCGTCCTTCTCCGCCATCACGTAATCCGTGTCAGTTTTCTTCGATGTAGACCCTCTCACCGACTTGGTGGCTGTCACCCTTATGGGTGTGGTCGTCATGTCCCCCTCAAAGGTTATCTTGATGCTCTGGCTCCTGACTGGCTTCATTCCTTTACTCGTCTTTATTCTCCTTGCTTCGACGTTCTCCTTCATCGAAGGGAACATCGATACATCTCCGAGATCATCTGCCCACTTGACGTACTTGCGGTCGTCAAGCACGACAAGTCCCTCTTCTATTGCCCGTTTWAGRTCCGGGCAATCCCTCTTGATATGATCTTCTCCTCTACAGTAGACGCATGAGTTYCTCGRAGTAGATGCCCTGTCGTCTGCACCTCTAGAGATCGAATTTCTGGCCGCCTTGGGGTCAGGCGACTTTGGATATGGTTCTGATGAGACGTCATATCCCCCTCTCTCATTCCGACCGCGCGAACCGTTGCGCCGGTCTCCTCCAGACCCTCCTTGCTCATTCCGCCCTCGTGAATCATTCTGGCGGTTTTCCGAGTCATATCGTCCGCGTGACTCATTGTGTCGGTCCCCTCGGTCGTACCATCCCCGCGACTCGTCGCGCTGCTCTCTCGCTTCTCCCCCGCGCTCAAACCGTCCGCGCGACCCATCTTGTCGTTCCTAGTCCCGATCTCCTCTCTAATATCTACTTCCTCTGTACCCATCTCGACCCGACCTCTCGTCTCTGTCGTCCCTATATCCATCTCGATCCGATCTCTCATATCTGTCGTCCCTATATCCATCTCGATCCGATCTCTCATATCTGTCGTCCCTATATCCATCTCGTCGACTCTGTTCTGTCCTCCATCGGCCGAGGGAGTCGCCTCTACCCCGATCGGCCTCATAGCGAGGGCTTCGCGGGTAATCATCCATCCTTCTTGCTCGCACAAACGACTCGCGGTCTCTGCGGTCTCGGTCTATCTCATCGTCCCTACGTCGCCATGGCTCATCGTCTCTCTCTCTTCCCCTC